CATTTAGCAACTCCTTAGGAAGCCTCCTAAATCTAGGCCCTAAGACATCAAATTACTGCCTTCCCACATACCATGCACATTTATTTGCAACAATCATTAAATCAGCTAGGTTCTTCCAGAATAGAGCCGAGTGAACATATGCTTATCATCCCAGGATAGCTTTATATAATCCCTGGCAGCACAAAACACCATATTTGACCCACAGTAGGGGCTCAATAAATAATTCATTATGTATAACATCAATCAGGAAATTATAGCAACAGATTTTTTGTAGACTTTCTGAACCTTTCCTCTGTGATTGTTAGAATCAAGATATTAAAAATAATTATAACAGGAAGTTGTTTTTCTTTAAACCACTGCCTCTTAAAACAGTTGGTGGCAGTTCTTCCTACATGGAACTGAATTTTCCCTTGTTTTTGTTAGTTGGATGGAGGTGTGGTTAGATTGCTCTGCAGTCAAGGTCAAGCAATGCACTGGACCCTGAAAGGGAAGGGATTTCTTTTATTAGGGGTTCTTAAGTTTCATTGTGTGTCTATTCACTTGGACACTTTCCCAAGTGCAGATGCCCAGGTCCCAGCCTTAGAAGCTTGCATTTACTGCTCTAGGTTTTGGCCCAGGGATTTGCATTTTGAATATGCATCTGAGATGTTTTGGAGATAGGTAGCTTTGGACCACACTGAGAAACTCTGCTCTAATCAGTGATAATTTTGTGTATTGCAAAAATCTCTACTGCCCCAGCTTAAAAAGTCTATCTGGTAAGCTGCACCCTTAAGCCAGCTGAGATACATCGAGAAATCAAGACCAGGAATCCTCTTAACAAGATTCAGAATAAAATCTCTTTGGAAGGAAAAGCAAATCTGAAATCTTTGGATAAGTAAACCCAGTAAACGTGACCCCATTTATTGCTCATTAGAAATGATTCTTTTGACAGTGATTTAGAAAGAGCAGAACTTCAACAAATAGATAACATTATATAGTAGTAATTATACTAGTATAACTGTCACTTGACAACCCCATTCTTTTTCCTAGAACTTAAGTATTTATTTTAAAACTGCATTATTTTGCTGTTTAGCTTTAATACAGTACTGGAAATACACTGTTCAAGTGATAGTATCTGTGGCAACTCAGGAATGATCAAAACAGGGAATTGCCTGGGAAGATGTCTAACCTTACTATAGTCTTGTTAACTAAAGTTTCAAAGCATAAATGAAAGAATGATTTCCGTAGGATCCATTTGGGGCCTTCATAAATGCCTTTCCATGTTTTTTTTAAGTGGGAGAGGAAATGGGAGGAATTGGGTAAGAAAAACGAAGATATGAATTCAGCCAAGGTAGAAGAAACAGTAGTTGAAATATTAATTCTCAATTCCTGTAACAGCAGATTGATAGATGAAGCATAAAACAAGACCAGATGCTGTGGCTTCCAGGATGCACTTGGCTTCCCATCCTTTATAACCTGGAGCATTTTTTTGCTGTAAGTAGGTCACTTGCTTGTTCTCATTTACCTGATTCTAGGAAAATGCCCTTGGAAGTATTTTGGAAAATAATGTGTTCTGGTACTT